ATCCTTCGGAGGTGGGTAAAATGAGGACCCAGACTGTGGGGCAATATACTGACTCTGTAAACCGTTTAGAGAGGGCTGAAAGCCCTATGAAGCGGTATATAAGTCTAACTGCTATTGCTATTGCTATTAATTATCAAGCCTGATCACATCATTTCTTAGTGAAGCACGGGTATCCAGCTTGTTTATGGATAAAAATTGGGCAGGGTGGAAAGAATTCACACCCGTCTCTGTCCTTGGTGCTGAATTTAAGAATTCCTGGTTTCAAACTATCCAGGACATTAAATTCATAGAGAGAAAAGCACGTACATATTTACATTCACATGATTAAGGGGAAATGTTAGATTTGTTTCCTATTCTTGAATGGTTGGCTTACAGATGCTGTGTTTGACTTGCTTGGAGCTCAAAATTGCCCCGTGGGGGTATATTTCAGCTGGAGCAAAAATCCTGATAATCTAGGATCGGTGTATTAAATTTTTCCAGTGTGGCACACGCTTGGCAGGCAGAATCTTGAAGTCATAATGAAACAAAAACACCTTTGATGACTTACAAGGTGATGTCTTCCAAAGTTTCACTTCTGTTAAAAAAAAAAAAAAAGGAAAACAAATATGATTTGCCTTGATTACCAGCCAATGTTTGGAAATTGCATTCCTGTGTCGAAGTTAGATTTTGAGTTTAGTTTACTTTACAGGAAGGAGTACGGCAGTTTAGAAATCAAAACACATGAATAGTCGCATCAAACATGAAGCAGAAAACTGGCTATTCCCCCCCCCCGCCTTTCTTGAAGCTCTTTTTCAAGGTCTCCCTCCCTCCTTATGATAATTCTCCATTTATCTGGAAAGAAGAGATACCCATAAAAAGCTGACGCTTAGAAATACATTTATAAATGCAAACGCCTTTAAGATAACTCATTTCTGTTTGTTTAGACCTGCTCCCCCCACCAAATTCTGCCCATTTGACCCCTTTGAAGAGTTTCAGATTGTTCAACACCCCCCCCCAAACAATTATTGTATGAAAATAATGTAATGAATACGATTTTAGCAGTGCTACGAATAATAAGATTTAACAGAGTTGGAAGGGAGCTTATAGGTCATCTAGTCCAACCCACCCCCAAAGCAGGACACCCTACACCATTTCTGACAGATGGCAGTCTAGTCTATTCTTGAAAGCTTTAGCCCAGATTTAACAGATTAACAGAGTTGGAAGGGACCTTGTAGGTCATCTAGTCCAACCCCCAGGACCAAGCAGGAGACCCTACACCATTTCTAACACATGGCAAAAATACAGACAAGGCCGCTCTTGCTGGCGGCTGACCATCCAAATTTAGTCACCCAAGTCTCGCCGGTAGCCACCTCATCTTCACGACCAGGGACTACCGAAGATTAATTGACCTCTTCCATCATTCTTGACCGCTTCTTAACTCCCATTTATCTTCTCTTGGGATACGACCTCTTGGGAGTTGGTATTGACCACTTGACCATGATTTGGATGCTTTGCCAGCTCACAGAGCTTCAAATGCTGAACTGATTCTTCCCCCAGCAATGGAGCTAACATCGCAGACTTCCCCGCGTTGCAACTTACGTGTCTTCTGTTGCAGCCGAGTCCGCTCACTGACCCTATTCTGTCCAGCCGTTGTCCGAAGCAGTTGGATACCCTGCGGGGGGCGTTGAAGAAGCCCCTCAGTTTGTTCCGCACGGCTGCTGCTGGGGCTCTTTCGGGAGGTTGCCAGTTGGTGCCGTCACTTGGGGGTCTTGAGTATTCGCCTTCCCAGGACGAGAGGAGCTGGGTGGCATCGCCCGCCGGTTCCTCGTTGGCGTCACCCGGATCTCGTTCAGTTTCTTCCTTTTCTGCCAACGCCACTTTACTTTCAATCCGTTGCAGAAGATCCTAAGAGCAAAAAAAAAAGGGGGAAACAAAAAATAACACATTTTGCAAACTCTTCCGTTAAAGTCGGTCTCTACCGAAGTGGTTGTCTGTATTCCCACTAGGGCAGGGATCCCCAATCCCCAGTCTGTGGGCTGGCAGCAGTCTGCAGCATGCCAGAAACTGGGCCGCGCAAACAAGCAAAGTATCAGCGTTCCAAATATCATCCAAAATTAAATCAAGAATCCAAGGCAGAACTTTCCTCAAACTTCCAATTTATTAAGAGAGACATGTTGGCACATCTGTAGACCGGTGAGGGGGAAGATAGTTGCCATCTTCCTCACTGAACACCTCCGCCAAGTCTTTTGGTACTTGTTGGATCCCTGGGAGTTTGGTGTCTGCGGAAGGTACTGCAGGTTCCGGACGGTCTGGGCTGTTGGGTTCAATGTTCTTGGGTGGCCTTTTGGCTCCACTGGTGGTAATGGCCGAAAGCCACTAATCAATTTTCTAACACCATCCTCCAGTGGTGGGTTTCAAATTTTTTTAGAACCTCTTCTGTAGGTGTGGCCTGCTTTGTGGGAGTGGCTTGCTGGCCATGTGACTGGGTTGGCGTGGCCAACTTGTAAAATATCGTGAAACTCACTTAACAACGCTCTTGCTTAGCAACCAAAATGTTGGCTCAGAACCTCTGGCGTTTGAAGCACGCAAGTTTTAAAGCTGTCAAGTTACAAGACCCTTGCACCCCTAATCCTTTAGGGGAAAAAATCCCTGGGGTGTTCAAACTTGACAGCTTTAAGACTTGTGGACTTCAACTCCCAGAATTCCTCCTCTCGCTCTTCATCTTGATGATGTGCAGACGGGCGGGGAGAGGAAGCTGGAACCGGTTCTAAACGGCACTGTAGATTTGTGGAACCTCTTCTATAAAAGAGGTTAGAACTGGCAGGAACCCACCCCTGAATCAAGGGAACAGCTAGCCTCCAGAAGTTGTAGGTGCTATATAATTATACCATCAGCGAGAGCCAGTTTAATCTAGTGGTTGAGGCATCAGGCTGGGAAACCAGGAGACAGTGAGTTCTAGTCCCGCCTTTGGCACGAAAGACAGATGGGTGACTTTGGGCCAATCAACAGGAGACAGTGAGTTCTAGTCCCGCCTTTGGCACGAAAGACA